CTCGGCGCTGGGACCGCCCACTGCGCTCGCCTGGGGCCGCTGTTTATTTTCCTAGAGCAGTTTGCAGCAGCCGGTGGGCGAGGCGGACAGGGGAGTGGAGTCCTATTCCTCAGCTCGGGGAAGGCCTGGGTGGCCGGGGGCGGCTCCAGCGCCTCCTCCTTCGGTGGGGGCAGCTCGAGGGCGACCTTGCCCACGTTCCTGTTGGCCTCCATGTACTGATGGGCCGCTCGGACCTCGGTCCACGGGTAGACGCTGTCCAGCACGGGGAGCAGGCGTTGGGGGCCCTCCTCGGAAAAGTGTGGCAAAATTTGCTCTGTAAAAGCTTTCACTAGCGTTTGCTTGTACTAAGATAAGGAAAAGCAGACCATCAGCCCGAACTGTAAGAGGCCTAAGCCTGTCACTGCCCACTCTGTTACACTGCACACCTCATCTCCCAGCATACAGGTGCGTGTCCCCACACGTGTGATGCCTTTTCTGTACCAGGAAAGACTGAAGGCTGGAGTGAAACACGAGTGTCACTGAGCCTCAGGACCACTTTTCAGGAAAAGTGCCCCGGACGAGGCAAACACAGACAGGATTCGCACAGAGCAAAAGGAGTGCATACGTTTTGCTCTCTCCCAGGAGGTAGGGAACCCCAGGGTTGGAGGCGTGCCCAAAGCTGGCTCTGGCTAGAATGCCACAGGGAAGATTCAAGGAACAAATGATCTGTTGAAGGTAGAAGCTTGCAAAGAAGTCTGGGACTATTAGAAGACTTCCTAATATGGCCAATGTTTTGTTTATTCTGTTAGAAAGAAGAGGGGGAGGGGTTAGGGGAGGGGGGAGAATATTCTTTCCAAAATTCCAAGGCTTCTGTTGATCAATCTCGGTTAGTTCTCTGAAATTGGATTACCTGTTTATCCACAAGGTGGCAGTTTTCTTTGTAGGCTCCCTAACCTGTAGCCTAGCTTCCTTTCCGGGCATCATGTAAATGAAGCACACTTTTCTGGGGAACAGTTAAATCAAATTTCCTTTTTGCTCATGACTCATCTTTTGTTCCCTGGATCTCAGCAGAGTAGTGACGAGGCTTCCTCGTTTAAAAAGTAGTTTTGAAAGCAGGGGCCCACTGACGTCAGCTCCTCCCGTCAGACCATAGAGAACCCAGTGACCATCAAGAACCAGTCAGTTGACCTTCTCCCAGTAGGATCCACCTGTACAGTCTGGAATTAGATTCACCCCAGCACCTTCCAGAGAAAACACACCAGACTGTGATGCTAGTTAGACACAGAAAGCTTGGTACAAAATAAAAGTCCATAGTATTTGTGGACATATGGGTACAGATCTAGGTTGGGTCTAGAAACATTCGTCACAGAAACGTTGTAAATGGAATTTAGGCAACAAAAAGCTTATCACAGGATATATAATATAGTTAATCTTCTATGCTCCCCAGCCACAGCAAGAGGGTAATGGGGCAACACCATGAGCTAGTTCCAGTTCTTACCCCCCAAATAAGTACAGTCCCACTGGCACCTGGGCAGGAGCAAGAAGAGAACAGGAGGTCCACCCAGGGCTACAGGGCAGGCTGGTTGTTCACTTCTAAGTTAGGAAGTGTCCACGCTATGTGTTACAGAATCATTGGCTAGCTGCATTTGGGAGGCTGAGGCAGGAGGCCTGCCATAAATTCGAGGCCAGCCTGGGGTACATAGTGAGTTCAAGGCCTGGACTAAACAGCAAGACCTTGTCTCAAAAAAAAAAAAAAAAAAACAAAAAACAAAAAGTCATAGATTTTCTAACTTTGTTTGCACCTCTTCTTTTCTACCCGTCTGACAAATGGAAAGGGATCCAGATTTAACTTTGGATACAGGGGGATGTATATCCTACTCATTCATTTAGGGGAGTTCTGCCCCCATCTGACTAAGACCATCTCCAGGGGTTCTCACAGAGCAGCTGGTTGGGAGGAAGAGGCCCTAGATAATCCCAGGCCAACACCGTGTTGTCCAGTTTTAAAAACATAGGTGAATCATCAGTAGCAAGAATGCAGTGGGCAAACGTTAGAACACTAGGATCTGGCCAAGGGCAGCTGAAGTGTTTTCAGTAGAGCCAGGACCAGCCTGGAGCACTGGTGACTCTGGGGCTGGTAAGGATTTTAATTCTCTCTTAAATTCCTGCTGAGAAGCAGAAGCAGTTATTTAGCTTTGGTGAATTTTAGTGTTGCTTCAGAAAAATCTCCTTCTTTGTAATTGAATCCGGCAGCTGCTCCAAAATCTTCTGCCATCTGAAGTTTGTGCTGGGAGCCAGCTGTGACGAGAGGAATGGTGCCAGCCCTCTGGGCCAGCTGGATGGCAGCCGTGCCCACCCCACTGGATCCCGCGTGAATGAGCACAGCCTCTACCGCCTGCACATCTCCTGCGACAGAACAGGCACTGGTCTCTCACTTTCCAACTCCAGCGTGTTCCCACACAGGCTTATTCTACCATGACACCTGACCCTCGGGCCAAATGCCAGCTCCCTTGCTCTCTGTAAGGAGCACATTAATAGTTCTGTTTTGTCTTCTATGCCTCTGGTCAGAGTGGGAAAGGAGCTCCAGACACAGGGTTATCAGTAGCCACATCTTTTGGTGTTTGACATAACACCAAAAGGTTCACTTCTGACTTACACGCATGAATAAGTAGGAACAACCCCATTCCTAGTGTCACCACGTGAATCCAGGCCTCTTCAGTGTGTTTGAAACTGGCCTCACTGACTCCGGCAGCACAGTAGGCCCCAGGCTCCTTCAACCGAAATGATGCTTCCTAAGTGCTACTTCTTCCTCAAAATGGAAAATGCTTTTCAGCTGGCTTTGCACAGAAGCCTGACAGCCAGGCATTCAAGGCCACCATGGTCTGGCCCAGGCTTCTCTTTCATAAATGACAAGAGTCACCCTTCACATCTACGTGGAACAGCGGGCCTCACCTTGATACTCTTTTGGGGGCTTCTGATGAGGATCCTCATGAGTTTGAGGCCACCTGAGCTACACAGTGAGTTCAAGGCCAGCTGAACTATATGGTGAGACACTGTCTCAAAAACAAAACAAAACAAAAACTGTGTCTCCCTTCTTGTATTTTTAAATTGATGTCTAAAGCTTTTCATTTGGGGTGGGTGGTACCAGGGATCGAACTCAGGACCTTGTGCTTGTGAGGCAGGCAACAGCACCACTGAGCTAAATCTAAAATCCTGGCCCTTTTTCTTTTTTTGGTATGTGGATTGAACTCAGGTCCTTGTGTGCTACCGACCGTAGGGCAGCAAACACGGGATTTCACAAGGAGATACAGGTTCTCTGAAAGGTGGGAGCAGGTTCGGCGATGACAGTCAGACAAAAGCACTCAACACCGAGGTGAAGCTTGCAAATGCTGCTGCAATTTTATTTCTAACTGTAGGTGTTTATATACTAGTTTCAAGGGCACACCTCAAGAGTGATTTCAGGCACAGGCAGGCATGATAAAGATAGACAATAGTACTGTAAAAACTAAGACCACAAGGTCAAGTTAAGACCACACCTATATACCATCACAAAAGCTAAGACCATTAAGTCAAGGTAAGACCACACCTATACGCAGTCAGAAGGGGAACTTTGTAAAACAAAGGACTGGCTTCAGCATGTCACCTTCAGGATCACCTTCAGGACTTCACAGTCCGGGGCTCAGGGTCAGCACTTTGGCCGCCCGTCCTCTTGTGCCTCAATACCTCCCCATCTCTAGGAACATCTAATTGTTCCTAACCTTTCCTGGGCCCAGAATACAATTCTACAGATAATGAACAAATAAATAGTAATAAAGACAAAATAGATCAGAATTGCAAATGAACCCAATGTCCCCAAACTGCAGGCAGAGAGGCCAGCTATTCTCTTCACGGCTGACTTTGCATGCGGTGTGTGCCAAGGACTTCCAGGAGGCTTAACCCCGTGGGGACGATACCTCTGGTCTGGTTTCTGCCAGGTGACCGGCATTGTCACACAGACTCCACTGGAGTGGTCGTGGCACTTGTGCTTTTGAGTGGCAGCACCACCACTAAGCTAAATCCCTGGATTAAACTTTTTCATTTTAAACTAGTTGCAAAAGATGATCTCTGGTTGTCAAACTGACATTTTAAACACTTACATCAGGCTTTTAAATGTGTCAGGTGCAATCTAGATTTCAGAGCAATTTGATAATCATCCACTAAAAACGACTCTTTCTTGGAAGTTTTACCATTTTATTTGTTTTTTGTACCCATATTTTTATTCTACTTTTTTCATATAATTATATCTTCCTATATTTTTTGATTTATTGGTCATTCTTATTGGCAACAAAAATATGGATTTAAATTTTACTTAGCTGAGCCTGGTGATGCACATCTGTAATCCCAGGTACTTGGGAGGCTGAGACAGGAGAATCACTACAAGTTCAAGGTGAGTCCAGGCTATATAGTAAGTTCATGGCCAGCCTGAATTATATACCAAAACCCTGTCTCACCCTCCCCACAAAAAAAAAACCCCAGCATGGGCAGCTTGCCTAACATGCAAAGCCCTGGATTCAATCCCCAGTACTGCAAAAATGAAAATGAACATTTTAGTTTTACAAAATTTTTCCTAGGGCACAAAAGTTAAATTTCTCTGGATTCAATTTATCATTGCAATATTTTAGTCCAAAGCTTGTGAAAATAATACATATATATTATTTTAAATATTAATAATCATTAAACATAAAAGACTTTAGTGGAAAGACATCCATCTCTTAATGACAATTCGTAGGGCAAAATTTTTTCAAAATAGTCTGTGGGGAAATAGTATTAGCTGCTAGAATGGACTGGGTTCAACATCAATTGTCTTTTATTTTTCATTTATTAATAGACAAGCTCTAGCTGGGCATGGTGGTGCATACCTGTAATCCCAGCACTCAGGAGGTTGTGGCAGGAGGATCGCTGGGAGTTCGAGACCAGCCTGGGCACACAGTGAGTTCCAGAGCAGTCTGAACTACATAGTGAGACCCTGTCTCAAAAAACAAAGAAAAAAAAAATGACAAGCTCTGAGAAACCTAGTTTGCATAAATTAGATGAGAAAGAAATTCCATTATAGTAATGCCAGCTACTTCTTTGAATACCTCTGAGTTATATGATAAGAACCATATAATGATCTATCATCGAAAATTACTTTCAATGATTTATTAGTTGACAACTTAATTAGGACTTGCTTCAATTTTGTTGAAGGGAAAGACTTGGAAGCTGTCCAATCTGTACAGGATTTGTTATCCAGTGATAAGTGTCATTCAAATTCTCAGTTTCTGGAGCTATACCAACAAAGTTTTTTGAAAACTTTTCAAATGATTATTAATTATGTCTTCTTTTCTCAAATAGAGGCACCTTATTTATTAATTTTTAATTTAAAAACTTTTTGCATCAAGTTTTGTTTTTGGTCATGGCTAAATATGGTTGTCTTTATTTTCCTTGCCCAGCCCTATCTAAACACAAAATAATACTATAGGACTGAAATTAACAATCCATTAAAATCAGCAATAAGTTATGAAAATCATAAAGCTTTTTAAATTATTTAAAGTTTACAGAGTCCAAAGGGGGAGGTCCCCAGGAGTCTTCCTGGGCTGAGCTTGAGGACCAGAGGGAAACCTGGGCTTGGGAAAGACAGTGGGAACGTGTGTCATCAAAGTGCAGGCAGGGAATTTCACTCAGAAGAAAGCAACATTTCTGAAACTAGAAGAGCAACAGTGGCACCTGCAGAGTGGGACTGTGAGAAGGGACTGTAGAAAATGGAGGTAAATCTTCACAGTACAATTAAATAAGTGCTGAACTTAACTATGTTAACGATGATAGTGAGTCTGCTGTGGCTATCAGATGGTTAGAAACTGGCCAGGGTAATGATTCTAAGAGCAAAAACAGCATTGACCTTTCCCTACCTAACCCAGACCTCATTCCTTCTGTGCGCTATAAAGAGGGGTTATTATCAAATGCTGCATCAAAACAGATTTTTCCCAATGTTTTTCCACTATAAGAGACATCTATGTTTACTTATGGATACGCTTTAAAAAGATGTCATTTTGGTTTTCAACACCATATGAAGTTATCAAGATCTCAAATAAGAATGCTGCTCTGGCTCAGACTTTGGCCTGCTAATCTGCGTGCACAGTGCTTGACTCACGCAGACACAGGGGCACGTAGAGCTTTTTCCTTCTGGCCCCCCAATCCGTACTCATAGGCCTGTGTGGCAGAGGCTGTCACGCAGCAGTGCCCTCACAGCCTAGGGGCAGTGGGCTGGTGAGCTGGTGGTCGGGCGCCCTAGTGCTAATGATGCAGGGTAAGGTCAGCTGGCTTAGCATGGAATCCAACGGAAAGCTGAGCTGCACGATGATCCTTCTCGAAAGGCCTTTGTAGAGCATGAAATGAGTTTTTAAAAAAAGAATCGATCACCCACAGGCTTCGTGATAAGTTGTCCCAGGCTAAGTTTTAATTGCTCTGTAGCTATCCAAGTTTACTGCCTAATTATCTTGTCTTCCTCACTGTAGATGTGATTTTGTTTCTAGGGCCATAAAGCTCAGGAAGGGTTTACAACCCCATCTTTTTTTTTTTTGGTACCGGGAGTCAAACTCGGGACCTTGCACTTGCAAAGCAGGCAGTGGAACCAATGAGCTAAATCCCCAGCCCTTCAACCCCATCTTGTAATGTGTCTACTCAATGTAGTATGAACCAACTAGAAAAAGGATGGACTCTCCAATGTCCTCTTTTAAATCAACTAAGTCAAATCAAGGAAATTTCATATTTGTTGCTGCCATTAGGAATTAATTTTTTTCCAATATGAATATCTGTTCAGCTGGGGAGGCTCTACCCCACTTTTTGCTAAGTATTTGCTTCAATGCAGGTCTTCTGACCTTTTTTGTTCAAGTATAGTTTTGTTTAGCTTAAAAGAGGAGACTGCAACGTGAACCCTTTTTTTTTTTTTTTTTTTTTTGAGACAGGGTCTGTGCAGTTGAGACTGACCTGGAACTCACTATATAGCCCGGGCTGGTGTCAAATTTACAGCGATCCTCCTGCCTCAGCCTCCCAAGTGCTGGAATTACAGGCATGCACCACCATGTCTGGCTACATTCTTGTTGGCAAAGCCAGTCCTCATTGTTAATCAGCCAAATAAAATGCATTCCTTTTTTTTTTTTTGAGACAGGGTCTTGCTATATATTCCAGACTGGCCTTGAACTATGTAGCCCAGGGTGGACTCAGATTTGCAGAAATCCCCCTGCCTCAGCCTCCTGAGTGCTGGGATTACAGGTGTGTGCTACATACTTGGCTCCTATGACATTTTTATTATAAAGAATACAACTCAGGAACAGTCTAATGGAAGTGGCACATGAGGCAGGGTATTGGGTGTGGGGTTGGGGGCAGGAGCATAGAGCCTCCAGCCTCTCTCTGAACACGTGACCTGCCCAGCACATAAGTGTGATCGTCAACCCTCAGCTCTGCACACCTGACGGTGCAGGGTGCTCTCTTTTCGAGGGCCCATCATGTAGGTGTAATGCGTTCAATCATTGGCCACGTGACCAAACTCAAACCCCTGTCCCTCTCCCCTCCCAGAGATCAGGGAGCAAGACTGGGAGCTGAGCCCTCTGATGGGCTCGGTTCCCGTGGGACTAGCTTCTCTCCTGAACAAGCCCACCCCCCACAGAAACGAGTTGTATCCTCAGCACCCTCATATTATTATTTTCCTCATACCACATGCACACACACAAGTATGATAAATGAACATAGTATGTCAACTTTGTGCCCTGAAGATCTGGGTAAGGCTGAAACAGCAGAGTGCAGTGGCTCGCAACCGTTACTCAGGAGGCTGAGGCAGGAAGATTGCAAGACCAAGCAAGCCTTGGCAATTTAACAAGACCCTGTCTCAAAATTTTTTTTCTTTTAAGGTTTGGGGAAGTTGTGAGGCCCTGAGTTCATTACTAGTACTGCAAAATGGCAATGGAAGTATATTGTGCATGTAGAAGACCAAATGGCTTTTGAGGGGCCTTAGGAAAGTAGCCTTTTCTGCCTTGGGCCCATCCATCGTTTTCATGCGTTACTCTCTCACACAGTGCTCTACAGCCCCTTCGAACTTCTCATCCTTTACACACAGAAGGAATTTTCATGACTCTGTGCCTTTGCCTGCACCGTTCCTTAAACCTGAAATACTTTCTTCTCGTTCCTATTTTTTTTCCAAATTCACTTTAAATGCCACTTTCTGGTTCCTGAAGGCAGTCAGTCACTCCAGGCTCTGTGCTCTGAAATGTGTGTTCATGTGTATGTGCATGCGTGTGTTCAGACAGGGTCTCGCTGGTCTCGAACTCACAGAGATCCTCCTGCCTCAGTCTCCCAGATGTCAGGAATTCAGGCGTGCACCATACCTGGTTGTACTCTGAAATTCTTCTATATCTGCTACAGTATTTATTCCTTGGTAATGTGACTTGCTTACAAGTTTGCCTTTCCCACTGGATCATGAACCTATATGGGGTGGAGTAGATGTACTATTTACTTGCTGTATCACCAGTACTTAGTACACAGTAGGCTACTCAATATTAAGTGAATTTTAAATTTATCTCTTGTCCCCCCCGCAAAAAAAAAAAAAATCAAGTAACTGAACCAATAAATGATACCTAGTGGTAAGATTGATCATCGAAAAATTTGGGGGTCCTTAGCACCCAGTCACAAAAGGAATAATGTTGGAAGTAGCTCATTCAAAGGCTGTTACATAAAACCCTAAACTTGTAGAATTTTATAAACAGTAACAAAAGACCCAGAGCGGTGACTTTGAAATTCAGAACACTTTGCCTTGCTGCCTGACAATGCTAAGAATGACTAAGGGTCTAAGATTTGATTTTATCGTTTACCAGCGCTAGTCACACCCATGAGTATCTGCCATGTTGAGGCACTGACTTTAAGGGATGAGAGCACTCGGGAGCTCTCCGTGTCCCGTCTCCGAGGTCTGCGCCATCCTCTCCCCACGTGCTGGGCCCCCACGCTCATCCCAGCGGCCGTGACTGCAGGTTTTTCCTCAGTTGTGCCCTATGTGCACCCGGATACTTTGTTTGGACGGGTCAGATGTGAGAGGCAGGGGCAGTTTTGTTTGTTTTGTTTTGTTCTTTTTGGTACCAAGGCAGGCAGCAGAACCACTGAGCTAAATCCCCAGCCCCAGGGTCAGAGGTAGTTTTAACAAAATTGAGAGACCCTTAAAACCCCAGCTGACCCACACAGCACACACCCTGTAGAGGGACCTACAGAGCAGCGCACTCAGCGGAGCGGTCAGTACCCTTCTGACACAGGACCTAGCATGCCACGCCAGGCTGGCCTAACCGGAACTCAGCTTGAATTCCCTTGGCCAGTAGTCGAGGCCACTCCCTCCCTAGGAACTCCTGAAGGACGTACTAGTGTGACCGGCCTGGGTCTGCCTGGGGCAAAGACACACAATAAGGAACCGTCAGGGTGGAATCCCAAAGTCTGAAAACAGGTTCTAGGACTCACTACCTCATCGTTCTGATCATCACGCAGGACACAATCAAGAGAAGAACCTTTCCTTGGGAAGACACATTCAGTGACTGTTATGCTTTACTCAGTTGCGTGGACTAGAATGCAGCCAGTGAGCGAACAGTCAGAAATCCTTCTGATTTGTTTTGACACGGGGTCTTGCTATGCAGTCCAGGCTGGCCTTGAACTTGTTGCGGTCCTCCTGCCTCAGCCTCCTGAGTACTGGGATTACAGGCATGCACCACCATGCCTGGCTAATCCTTCTAAATTTTTTTTCCAGTACCAGGGTTCAAACTCAGGACCTTGCACTTGTGAGGCAGACACAGTGCCACAGAGCTAAATCCCCAGCCCTAATCCTTCTAATTTTTTGAGAGGCCTTTACAATGATCAACAATACTCGATGCCTATAGTTGCAATGTGTAATGTCCATCTAATTCCTTGCCTGGTAGCCCATTGTTGGGTGGTCTTTACAATGGTTCCTGATCTCCTAGGTCTGACAGGGGTGATGTGGACACACAATGAACTGGATTATAGCAGAGGAACCCTGAGCTCAGGGACTCTTCTTTCACAGCAAGCAGTAAGCAGGTTTTCTGTGTATCCTGAAGGAAAATGTTACTTCGTTTTTTTGTTTGTTTGCTTGTTTTTTGATACCAGGGATTGAACTCTGGTCCTTGTGCTGGCAAGGCAGGAGGTGGAACCACTGAGCTAACTGCCCCCTCAAGTTACTTCCTTTTTAAAGGTTGCTTGCTACAATGTAACCCTGAGAAATGGCCTGATAAAGAGTTCCTAGAGCCTTGCATTACGGTATATCTCACAAGATACCTAGGATTTAAGAGCCTCACTGGGTGACTTCCCACAGACACATCTTGTGAAACTATCCGTGCTCTCACATTCCTTGGTAATGACTGACACTTAAGAAAAAGGGGATTAAGTAATTCCAATTAATTTCTCTCTCAACTCAGTCTTCTTTTTTAGTATTTGCTTAGTATTTTTCAAATACAAAATAATTTTTTTGCTAGGATCAGTAGTTTCTTCTACAGTAATAAAGTTGTCTTTCATACTCCTCTGATGACTTAACTTCCTTTTTTTCTTAGATATTCCCCTGTAAGAAAGCACAACATAGTTGCTATGAGTAATACATCGTTACAATATAATCCATTCATTATTCTACAAGCAGCGTAAAGTGGAGGCACAGGGTGACTGGATTGTTGAAACACAGTCTCTGCTCTCGGGGAGTTCATTGTACAGTAGGGGAAATGGCTATATACAAACATGTTGTATTTCACAATAACAAATGCCACACGTGAGGTATCTGGATTCTGGGGTGATGGTGCATGGCTGTAATCCCAGAACTCTGGGAGGCTGAGGCAGGAGGATTGAAGTTCAAGTCTTAGCCTGAACAATCTGGCAACTTGCTGAGACCTTGTTTCAAAATTAAAAATTAAAAAAAGGGCTGAGGATATAGTTTAATGCAAAGACCCTGCATTCAATCCTCACACTGGAAAAAAAAAAGTTTAAACTGTTCTAGAGGATGAATTGGCTTTTTTTTTGAGACAGGGTCTCACTATGTAGTTGAGACTGACCTGAAACTCACTATGTAGCCCAGGCTCGTCTTGAACTCACAGCGATCCTCCTGCCTCAGCCTCCCGAGTGCTGGGATTACAGGCGTGCACCACCACACCTGGCTATTGAATGAAGGAGCACATGGTCATTAAAGGAAGGGGGATGGGAGAGGCAGCCTGGGAACAAAAGAACCTGCTACCCTCCTCACCAGTGGGTGTTGCAAGACCTACATTTAAAACTGATTCCAGCACTCCACTTGCTAAGCTATTAATTAGAAAACTTTGAAAGCAGATAACTTCACTCATCAAAAATTCTCCTCTTTTCTTAAATTGGCTGTTGGTTATTACTTAATTTGCCTTTCTCTCCTGCAATGACAGATGACAGTCATGGGAGAAGAAGTAGACTCCTAAAAAGTTAACTTAATTAAAAGTTAACTGTAAGACACACTCTGCAAAATGAATCACGTCTCCTTATAGATCTGTTATACACTTGGCGGTAAGGTGCCAAAAGAAATTTAGGAGAACAAACAAAATATCAGAACCAAGAAGTAACTCTCAAAACACAGAGCCCAGCTCTCTAGCCTATGTTTTTATACAGTGCAGCGACTGGGATGAAGAAAACTAAGAAATGTGGTTGGCTTCTCAGAGCGTTAAGTCTTTCTCAACCTTAATTTGTAGAGTGAGCACAGGAAATTTAAGAAAAAACTGTATTTCTTCAACAATTCCATGACAATGCTAAAAATAAGTCACAAAATATGCTAAAGTTTCTCTCTTTTTAAAAAAACGGGGGACCTAGAATTTAACATGCTGTCAGCTATAAATATGTATGACTCACTAGTATATGCATGTATTTGTATTAAAAACAAACCTGATCAACTTGTTAGAGAAGTAGCATAGCAATGCTTACATATTTACTGTGTAAAGATTTTCTTTAATAACTAGTCATACTGCTAGAATCACCCAAAACAAAAAATTTAAATAGTCATAATTCCCAAAATTTCTACTACGGTCATATATGTTTTCACAGATAGAAATACAGTTAAGCAGCTGGGCGTGTGGCACATGCCTATAATCCCAGTACTCAAGAAAATGAGGCAGGGGCTGGGGATGTAGCTCAGTGGCACCGCACCTGCATCGAAAGCACAAGGTCCTGAGTTTGATCCCTGGTACCCCCTCCAAAAAAAGCAAAGAAAAGACAGGCTTGCAGTGTGCCCATCCCTGGTGTCTGCTATACCTCAAACCCTGAGCTGAATCCTGTACTTCCAGTGGTTATGTAAGCAACCCCAATGCCCTTCCAATACATTCCTTTCTCCTTGTGATGGTTGTTTCAGTTGTCATTTTTTTTTTTTTTTGGTTTTTTGAGACAAGGTCTCACTGTGTAGTTGAGACTGACCTGGAACTATGTAGCCAAAGCTGGTCTTGAACTCACTGAGATCCTCCTGCCTCAGCCTCCCGAGTGCTGGGATTACAGGTGTGCACCACCATGCCTGGCTCAATTGTCAACTTGATTTGATTAAGAAATACTCAGAATTTGAGAGGCTGAAGCAAGGGGATGGAGAATTTGAGGCCAGCCTGGACTACAGAGTGAGACCCTGCTTCAGAAAACAAAAAGGAGAGGGAGGGGACAGGAGAGATACACACAGAGGTAAGTAATCACACCTCTGGGTGTGTCTGTGAGGGTGTTCTCAGAGAAAACTAGCAAATTGAGTCCTGCTCTAAATGTGGGTGGCACCATCTTATAGGATGAGGACCCAGAAGGAACAAAATCAGAGAAAGGCCAGGATTTAGCTCAGTGGTACCAAGCTTTCCTCACAAGCGCAAGGTCCTGAGATTGATCTCCGGTACCAAACCAAACCAAACAAAGCAAGGTAAAGCCTGCCAGCACATCCTTTCTCCCTCTGTGCCCTGGAGTGAGCAGCTTTCACGCACATGTCCTTCTGCAGTGATGTTTCTGTAATGGACTTAAACCTCTGAAACCCTGAGCCGAAGTCCGATTTCTCCGGTGATTGGTCACAGTGACGGCGAGGGGACTAACACTCCCCCAGATGGTCTGAGTTGGATTTCTGTCACTTGCAGTCTGAAAACCTAACACAGGGAACAAAGACAGGCACTGGGAGGCAAACTCACCCAGCTTCTCTGTGGCTTCCACACAGACACTAGGATACATGCCTGCTGCGTAAGTGGCCACCAGAAGATACAGATGGGTCTTCACAACAACCACACCAGTGTTCTCCTGGATGAAGAACAAAACGGAACGCCCTCTCTCAGCTGTAACCACAGGACCAGCAATTATCTTCCAGCTACATTTTTCACTGTTTCCTGTCTTCTAGTCTTTCCTGAAAACAGTTCAGACTGTTGCAATCACAGCATGCAGGCTATGAAAAAAATTTTCAACTGATTGTAATATGCCCCTATCTCAGTGGAACAACTGATCCAACGTGAAGGTGACCCATCTAGGGATCAGACAGCTCTGACCTTGAATCCTACCACCTCCATTTTCTGCTGAGTTATCTAAGTTATGTTAAGCCACACTTTACAGTAAAATGAGGTATTTAGCTTATAATATGAAGTGCGCCTAATTCATAATATAGACCTCCCATTTCCTTACAGGTAATCATCAAGACATTTTGAGCATAGGAATGACACACTAAGCATCCTAATTAAAATAAATCTGACATGATCCAAAATCCGAAAAATTTTGAGCACCAACAGAAAAAATGCAGGGACACTAAAAAATATGGTATAAAACCTTTAGGCTATACCCTTAAGGTATATGTGAAATATGAATTTCGTGATTATGTTTGGGTCCCATTCTCAAGAAATCTAGTTATGTACAAGTGTATGCAAATATTCCAAACTCCAAAACACTTTTGGTCCCAGACATGTCTGACAAGGAATACTCAACCAGTATCCTTTTTTAAAGGAGGACAAAATAGATTATGAAAGATGGATTGTCCTGGAAAGACGTAGTTCCAGCAAGGTTCTGTTGATAGATTCTGCAATAGATATTTGTGAAAATCAGGCTGATAGTACTTTCTTTCAGATATGCCTTCCTGGCACTAGAATGCTATCTTAGTTCCTTGAAGCAGTAATGAGCTTTATCTGTTTTATGGGGAGGCTCAGGAGTGGCAAAGAAAACAGAAGTCAAAATGCCCAAGGTTTTTACTGGCTGTCATCAGATCTTGAACACTCACACTCTTGGCATAAAGAGAACAGTCATCTGCCCGGACACATCTGTAGTCCTTTTCCCTGAAATACAGTCCTTCTCTACGGGCTTGCAAAGGGTTTTTGGCAAATCCATTCACAAGTGTTTGGACATCACTTGGCATTACCTATAGAGATGAAATAGACCAGGAATCAGCAACTGATGGCCAGTGGCCAGCTGCTTTTTGATGGCTTGAAAGTTGGGAATGATTTTCACATTCTTAAATGGATGGGGGAAAAAAATCTAAAGAGGAACACCACCTTACAACATGTGACTATTACATGAAATTCAAATTTCAACGTTCACGTAGAAGTGTTATTAGAGCGCATTTACACCTATTCTTTCATGTATTGTTTACAGTTGCTTTTCCATTTTAACTGCAGAGTTGAAAGATTATGTTGTCCAGAAACCTAAAAAAAAATTCACTATTAGTTTTTTTGTTTTTGCTTGAGACAAGGCCTTGCTATGTAGTTCAAGCTGACCTCGAAATCACCATGTAGCCCAGGCTGGCTTCAAGCCTCAAACTCGGGGTGTTCTCTTGCCTCAGCCTTCTAGAGTGCTGGGATTACAGGCCTGCACCACCACGCCAAGCTACCATAGCTTCTTTAAAAAATTTTTTTGAAAAAATAAAGAAAAAATTCGTTTAAAAGTCCCAAACTTGTTTTTTCTTACACTAAATCCTGGTGATGCGACACACAGGCTCCGCTCCTGGAGTTTGATGAGGGCCGCACCGTCCACGTGCTTGGTGCCCAGGAGGGTATCTAACAGCAAGTTTTGCAAGTGGCTCATGCTTCCGCCAATCTGAAAGGGGAACCGTGGTTGAAGCCATCCACTCTGGCTACTTCTTAAAGGCAGCAGAACCCAAACGTCCCCAAGACACTCCAGTTTTCCTATCAGCGGGTGTCATTTGAAGTGATGGAGAAACGGTGGCCCTTCATCTAGGGTACTCAAAGAATACTCAAGGAAAATACCGATACTCAAAGAAAATACCATCACAGCAAAATTAGTTCACACAGAATGGGTTATGAAGCTGAGTGGAAAATCTGCCTCAATTTTCTAGCTATGTCAGTAACTCCCACCAGGATTACCTCGGATTTTAAAGACCAACCAACTAAACAACCGCACACCAGGCAAGAAGGAGACCCCAAGCTCAAGACCGCGAATCTTCTCACGCTCTTCCCACTGACCAGCAACGGCGCCAAAGACGGACTCAAGCCAACCCTTTCCGCTCACGTCCCGCTACCTAGGCTCGCGCTCCTCAGGCCAAACCCCACCCACACTCGTCCTCGGCAGCGACACAGCAAGGCAGGCCCCCTGAAACAGGACTGGGGCGCGTGGAGGGTCCCGGAGCTCGCCCGAAAGCGGGGCGAGTCACTTCCAGGCCCGAGCCGGGCAGCCGACGCCACCCTG